GCAATTAAATTAGAAACAGTTAAGAAGGATAGGTAGAAAATCTCAAAATACAGATACAAAAATACACTTTTAAAAATCATTCTATACTTCTGAATAACAAATGGACAAATCAGTCAAAGAGAAAATCTTTAGAAATTTTTAAATCTTTTGAGCTGAATAAAAATGGAAATAGAACATATCAAAATTTGTTAAATAAAAAGTCCTTAAAGGGAAATTTACATAATTTAAAATCATCAAGCATGGTGCCACAGGCCTATGATCCCAGCACTTTGGGAAGCTTTGACTGGAGGATGACAAGTTTAAACCTACGATTGGCAACTTGGTGACTTAGAGATATCACATCTCAAAGTAATAAAAGGGCTGGGGATATAGCTGAATGGTAGAACATCCTAGCCTTGAAAGAAAGAAGGAAGAGCTAAAATCAATAATCTAATTTTCAACTTTACGTAGAAAAAAAATGAAATCCAAAACAAGAGGATGAAAATTAGAATAGAAAATTCAAATGTAAACAGGAATAAAGACAACAAGCCCCAAAGCTGATTCTTTAAAATACCAATTTTTAAATAGGCCTGCTCCCAGATTAAGAAAAAGAGATGATACAAATTTCTAATATCAAATAAAAGAGGAATCATCACTGATCCTATGGACACTGAAAGGACAATAAAGGAATATAGCGTTATTCCAGTTGGCTCATGAATGCTTTTGTTTGAGAAAATTTTGTTTCTGTTTGCAAACTCTACAACTGATCACAACCACAGCCATCTTTCTTGCACAAACATAAATATAGCCATCTTTTACAAAATCATGGAACAAACTAAATTCATGAACTAAAGTACCTCAGGACTGTGAATAAGTTCATACTCACAAATCTGAAAACAAAGATTAAATGGACCAATCCTAAAAAAGATGTAATATTCCATCATATCTATTGAAGAACTTGAACCAATAATTAATAACCTTGCAAAACAGAAATATCAGCTCCAGGTGGAGTCTCTTTAGGAAGTATTGACTGTCTACAATCTCTTTCAGAAAACAGGAGGAAAGGGAATACTTCCATAATTCATTTATCAGGCCACCTAATCCCACAAGGCAAAGATATTACAAGAAAAGAAAAATATTAATACCTCTGCGTTGTTTCACATTACTAGGACAAAATACTTGAAACCCGTAACTTGAAAGTAAGAGATGTTTATTTTATCTCACAGTTTCAGGGGACTCAGTCCATGGTTGGCTGGCTCCAAGGTAGAAAAAGCAGTGTCAGAATGTTGCTTATTCTAAGGCAGTTGGGAAGCAAACAGGAAGGGAAGAAGCTGGGGACAACAGTACACCCTTTCAGGTGAAGCCCTCAATGACCTACATCGTCCAGCCAGGCCACCAGGCCCAACTTCTACATAGCACAGTTAGCTATGAACTTAACTACAAATAAGTACAGTGCCATCAAGAGCCAGTCACCTTCCACAAATCCTACTTGTGAATACACAAGGCCTTTGGAGGCTGCCCGCAATCTAAGCTGTAACATTCCATTTCTGGGGCACAGAGACTCATGCACATCTCTTTATGCAAAATATATTTAGTCAAATCTCTCAGAGTTGTTAAAGTCTTAACAATTTCAGCATTTGCTGAAAAGTCTGACAAAGTTCAAAGTTTTCTCTGAGATTTAAGGTAAATTCTTAGCTGTGAGCTCCTATGAAAATCAAAAAGATAGCTAAACACTTGAAAATACACTGACCTAGGGTAAATAGTATCATTCCAAAAGGGACGAGGATGGGGGTACAAACAAATTACTCCAAAGCAATACCAAAATCTACCAGGGCAGACATTATATCCTGTAGCTCCCTCTCCAATATCCAGGGTACGCTGTGGTGAAAATAAGCTGTAAAGGGCTTGGGAAGAACTGGTCCATGGCCTTGCTAGTTGTAGCCCGCTCTCTCTTGATTTAGCTCCCCTTGCTGCTAATGACTTTCCTCAGCATCTCTAACTTCCTGAAAGTATCACTCTATTTTCTGCTTTATTTCCTAAGTTTCACATATCATTCTCTCATGTGTATCATGCCTGGCCTGCCAGGACTTCTTTGGGTAGCTGAGTGGAATCCTCTATGACCCCATACCTCTTGTATTATGCATGCATACAAAATCTGCACCCATGGATGATATCAAGGTCTACCACCAGCTTGAGTAGCCAGGCTCTCTTGAACCATGGCTGCAGTCACCCTGGAGTTTCTAGATGGCTGTACATGGTGAAATGAGTCCCAAGGAACTAATTTCTCAGTCAGTTCTTTTATAGTAGGGGGCCCAAAGACTTCTCAAATGCAAGGTTTATAGCTATGATGAGTGAGATCTTGACGGTTCCTGAGACGCCTTCAAACCATTTTCCCTATTGTGATAATGCAAAGTACTTGACTTCCTTTTACCACAAATCTTTTCATCAGTCATGTTTTCCTATACCCCAACTTTGCAGGTACTTCCAAGTTTCTAGTGAGTCTGCAAATTTTAATTATTCAGTTCTGTTCTTTTCTACTGATTTATAGTATGGATTTGCTAAAAGCTGCCAGCAATACCATGCTAAAGTCTGAACAGTGGGCTACCTTGAAATTTTTTCCACCAGATTAATTAGCCCACAAGCCCTGAATCTGAGTCTTCTGCAAAGTCTCAAGACATGGGCAAGATGTAAACAAACTTTTTGCCAAAGTGCAATATACACCGCTGCAGATCCATTTTCTAACAGAGCCCTCATTCCCATGAGTTGGCCTTTATTGTCCACATTCCATCTGCATACTGGTCTTTTAAGTTCTGGTCAGTACTGCACATCAGGCACTGCTCACAACATTCCAGGGCTTTGCTGGAATCTCCAAAGTCTTTCAAAATACTCTCATGACCCAGTTCCAAAGGCTTCTGAAACACATGATCAAGTATATTCACAGCAATGATTCCACTCCTGGTAACAATGTTCTGTATTTTCTTTTCACATAGCTTGAACAGAATACCGCACACTCACAACTTAAAGAAGGAGTTGTTTATTTTTGTTCAGGTTTCAGTGAATTCAGCCCATGCTTGCAAAACTGCTTTCCAAGATCACCAATAGTCCAATCTCAGGTCTCATGTTATTCATTTTTCAGGACCACTGATGTGGGTTTTCATTCTTCACTCCTTGATATATTTTATTGCTTAGCTCATTGTTTAGTGCGGAAACCACACTCCTCAGGATTTTCTAAGTAATCATTCCTGCTCAGTTTCCACTGCTGTCACTTGATTTCTGTTCTTCTATTTAATAATGGAATACCCCAAGGTATCTTTGATATTTTTCTATCTAGGTTCATGCCCTTGGTGATTTTACCCAGTCTATTAACTTATGTACATCTTTATGCCAATACTTATTTAAGATATGTCTCTTATATGTCCAGATTCATTTATTATGTCTAATAGACATAACAAAATTCCAATGTTCAAAATCAATCTTCTATTATCCCCCCAAACTTTCTCTACTACACATTAACCATTATTTTTGGTTAAAGACTTTTCTGAAGAAGAAGCTCCATCCTTCCTATTGCTCATATCAAAAAACATGGAATTATTTTTGTTTCCTTTCCACACATCTGGTCCACCAATAAATTCAGTGTATGACATCTTCCAGATATAGGTAGAATTTCAAGATTTCTTTACCTCCCACAATGCTATTACTATGACCCAAGCCAGACTGAGGCAACTTCCTACCTGGTCTCTGCTTATATCATTAAGTCTCCACAGCCTATTCTAAACACAGCAGAAGAATGATGTTTTTAGTGCGTAATTTGGATGTCATCTTCCTGTTCAAAATCCCATACTATTGATTCATCTTACTCAAAGGAAAAGCCAACTTTGCTTACATTTTTTAAACTCAGTGCAAACTGAACATAATATAAATTTTTTTCCTATGTTTAAGAAACACAAAAATAAACACACATACAATGAAACTTCAGAAACTGATCCCTAAGTCAGGAATGGTGGCATATGCCTCTAACCCCAGCACCTGGAGGCTTAGGCCAAAGGAATGCCATGTGTTTGAGGTCAGCCAGGGATACATGGTGAATTCAAGTTCAACTTGGACTGTATATATGTTTTTGTTTAGTTGTTAAATATGATGTTTTTTCTCTGTTCTCTAAACACTTTCTCTGCTGAATTTCATAAAAACAAACATTTTTCCTGGAAAAAGAAATTACAAGCTGTGTGTGGTAGCACACACCTGTAGTCCAGGTACTCAGGAGGCTGAGGCAGGATGATCACCACAGCTTTGAAGCTAGTCTGGGCTACACAGTGAATTCAAAGCCAACCTGAACTACATAGCAAGACTGTGCCTCAAAAAACAAAATAAAACAAACAAACAAAGAAAAAGAAAGTCAATCCAAAGTTAGAATTACTACCCAAAAGGATTTAACAAGCATGCACCTATATTAGAAGCTCAGTAAGCATAGAGAAAGAAATTTATGTTGGCTATGGTACCACAGCCACATCCCTCTATATCAATACTGGCTATGCAACCCTAAAGTTCTAAGATTCTCTGACTTTCCATTTTCTATAACAATCATACCCATTTCCTAGAAAATGAAAATTAAATGAGATACCTCTTATAACATATAGACCCTTAACAGCTACCCATGATTTAGTTAATACAACAAAACATAATGGTACATGGTGGGAGACAGAATAGAAGGCAGGTCAATAAGGGCAGACCATTCTTGTGCACAAAAGTGTTTTATTCATTTACATTGTTTGAAACTTTTATTAGTTATTAAAAAAAGCTTTTTGGTTGTTTGCATTACTGTTTTTAGATCTGCTGCAGACTATGCATCCTTTTTGTGCCTTTTCCAAGGCACTATAGTAAAAGACACTTCCTACAAACATTCATTCATATTAACTGTCTTATTAGGCATAGTGTATGGAACTCAGGAGACAGTTTTGAAAGTATGATCATCATGTGTTATAAAACAAACTGTGATTACTTGGAAAATAAAAATATTTACTTACCTTTCTTAAATTTATGTACAGGGAGTTTCTTAAGTTGATCTTTACCAAGTCTATTTCTTCTAGCTCTATGTCTGTCCTGGACAAATTTTGTGATCTAAAAATAAAAGAGAAAAAAGATGCCAAATGTTAAACATGCAAATAAAAAACAGCTATTAACAAATATCTTAAGTTTCTAAATAGCTGCCTTGAAAACCAATTTATTTAAATCCTAATCCTAAGCATAAGTAGGTTATTAAAGCATTACAGTAGGAATGATTAGGTAACACATATTATCCTTTGAATTTTTTATTTACAGATCTTCATTATGTTTCACTTACTGATAGGAGATATTATAAATTTCATATAACTACTTGTAAAATAAAAATAGTAGATCATAGTTACCAAGATTCCAATGGTCCAAAGAGAACAGAAAGAGTTGAAACTTCTTTAACTTACAAACTAATAAAATTTTCAAATATATCAATATTTATTGTACTTTCAGTTCTATCAGCATAACAGACAGAGCCAAGGTAGAATACTTCTACTGTAAATCTTCATAAATGTCACATAAAATATATAAAACACTCTAAAGTATAAAGTGCTGGGCTTAAATGAGAGGGAAAAGTTTACAGGACTCAAAACAAATACCAAAAACACTCTTCATAAAAAAAAAAATAATAATAACAGAGTTGACCACATCACAGTTAAAAACTCTCTCATATTCTGTGAGGTTACAGCAGGAGGCTTGCAAGTTCAAGCCTACTCTGAGAAATTCAGTGAGTAGAAAGGATTTGCCTCAAAAAAGGACTTATGGTGTAAGATATAGCTTAGTATAAACATCCTGGCTTGAAACCCCAGTAGTACAGGTTTAAAAAAAAGTAAAGATAAGAGCCTCTATCCTTAAAAGATACTGTTAGGAAAAATAAATGAAAATAAAAACAAAATACCTTCTTTTGAAAAAAGACACTGTTAAAGACAAACCACAGATTTATTGCCACACTGTATAACTGATAAAGGAATTAATATTTAGAATAAAGAATGCTCAAAAGTCAATTAGAAAAAAGCAATACTATTGAAAGAACTGTATAGGTAACTTTACCATAGTCAATGTACAAAAGGCAAAAAAGTACAGAAAGAGATCTCAACATCATTAGTCAAGAGGAAAGCGCATATTGAAATCATAATTACATACTACTACATACGTACTGGAATAACTACATTTAAAAGACTAATTCTATCAACTGTCGACATGGAAATGAAGAAACTGAATGTTTCTTGCACTAGTAAGCAAGACTGTAAAATGGTACAACCACTTTGAAAATCACTTCAGGAATTTATTACAAATTTAAAACACACATGATTTGATACAACTACCCCAATCCTAGATATCCACTTAAAATAAAGTTCTGCATATATGCACACAACTTTGCACATAAATGTCTAGTCATTTTTATTTGGAATAGCTAAAACCTAAAAACAACACAAACGTTCTTCAACAAGTTAATGGAAAACTATGTTATAATCATATTAAACACTATGGTAAAATCATACAATAGAACACAATTGAGTAATGAATAATCAATACACTACAATAATAATTTATATTAATTTCAATTTTGCCAAGAAGTCAGACACAAAAGAGTGCATATTTTGTCAATCTGTTTAGACAAAGGTGTAGAAAATGCATGGTAATCTACAGTGAACAAAATCAGATTGTAACAGGGGATAGGGGAAAGAGGGACATGGAAGAGAAACTGGAAAGACAAAAGGGGAACGAATACTAAGGAATATTAAATTATGTTTACTAAGCTGGCAATAGTTTCATTGGCATATGTATGTATACAGATACATGTCAAAACTTATATTGCATGTTATAAGTATAATATATTGTATGATTATGTCAACCATACCTCAATAACTTTTTAAAGTTTAATAACAACCACTAAAAAATACCAATATAACATAAGCATTTAAATAAATAAAAGAAAAAGAGAGTAAAAATACGAATTTCATAGAAGACAAAACCTCAATAAAATGAAAACAACATAAATTAACCCCAAGTCAGGCATAGTGGTGCTTGCCTATAATCTTAGTCCTCAAGAGGCTGAGGCAGGAGGACCACTGTGAGTACAAAGCCAGCCTCAGCTACAAAGTGAGTTCAAAGCCAGCCTAAACTGCATAGTGAGGCCCTGTCTCAAAACAAAACAAACAAGAAATCCCAAATATATGTTACCATTATTAATATAAGTTAAGTTCACTCTGGGTTTTCCAAAAGACTGTATCACACTGTAAAAGGAAAAAGTTTATGTATTTTGAAAAGATTAAAAAAGTTCATGCCATTTTAAAAGATTAAAAATGTTTATGCTATTTTGAAAAAATTAAAACTGACATATTAAGGCCAAAATTAAAGTAAAAAATAGAGATGGATAAAGATGTAGCATAAATATATTAATACAAGAAAATCTAGTATGTCAAGTAAAACAGAATTTAAAGCAAAAATATTTAGGAGACAGCTGTGACAATGATTTAAAAAGACAGAGAATGTTAAAATGTCCATACTGCCTAAAGAAACGTACAGATTCAGTGCAGTCTCTTATCAAAATACCAATGGCATTCTTCACAGAACTAGAAAGAACAATTCTAAGACTTATATAGAATCCTAAAAACCTTATGTAGTCAAAGTCACTTTGACCAAAAGTAACAAAGAAGGACACATAATCTTACTTCAAATATGACACAAATGACCTGGGCTCAGTGCTGAACAAAGAGGCTGTGGCACTGGCAGGTTTGAGGCTATTCAAGCTCCTGAAAGGGTGATGGGGGTTGTTTGCGATGATTACTTGGGGAAAAAAATCGGTGTTAAAAGTGTAACTGAAATCCACAATGAGATGAACCTGGATACCCATTACCAATAGGGCAGAACTCTTCTCCCTGGCTCTCCCTCCCTCCCGTCACAGTAGTATGGGTTCTTGTTTTAAAAAATTCACATGAATAAAAACTTAGATGCTGATAAAGATGATACACGAAGCTCTCTGCAATCAAAACAGCATGGTATTTGGCATAAAAATATGCATTGGACTACCTGAACAGAATAGAAAACTTAGAAGTAAACCCAGCCACCTATAATCAACTAATTTTAACAGTGGTGCTAAAAACATACACTGGAAAAAGAGTGGTCGTTTCAACAGATGGAGTTGGGAAAATTCAGTAAGTACTGTGGGAAAATGAAGCTGGAACCCATCGCTCACCAGATACAAAGATCAACTCGAAATGGATTATAAACTTAAATATAAGACCTGAAACTATGAAGTTACTAGAAAAAAATATAGGTGTAATTCTTCAGAAAATTGTAATGTGCAAGGATTTTTTGGAGATCCCAAATGCACTTGGAAGCAAAAGCAAAATAGACAAATGGAATTATATCAGGTTAAAAAGCTTCTGCACAGCAACAGAATGCAGGGATAATCTGGGTGCGGTGGCACATGCCAGCACTTGGAAGGCTGAGGCAGAACTGCTATGAGTTCAAGGGCAGCCTGAAATACATGGCAAAGTTCAAGGCCAGGATGAATGAACTACATTGCAAAAAAAAAGGATAAAATATTTACAGTGTATACATCTGACAAGGAATTACAAAAGCTCATCAGAAAAAAACCAAAAACTATGATTTTTAAATTTTTAAAATAGGCAATAGATGTAAATAGACACTTCAAAAGATACATATGTATATACAGATACAGACATACAGTCAATATATGAGAAGTGCTCAGTATCATTAACCATCAGGAATGAAGATCTAAACCACACAGAGGTACCACCGTACCCCAGTCAGAAGGGCCCTATTATAAAGCCTGAGGATAACGAGTCTTGTGAAAATGTGAAGAGAGGTACACTGTTTGCAGGAATGTAAATCAGTACAGTCATTATGGGAAACAGCATGAAAGCTCTTCAAAATATTCAAAATTAAAATACTATATGATCTACAAGTCCACACTACTGTGTATACATCCAAAGAAAATAAAATCAGTATACTGAAGAGAAACCTGTATTTCTATATTTGCTGCAGTACTACTTTCAATGGTTAAGAAATGGAAACAATTTAAGAATTCATCAATTGATGAATGGATAAATAAAATGTAGGGCCGGGGATTTAGCTCAGTGGCTTAAGTGCTTAATGGCAAGCACAAGGTCTGGAGTTCAATCCCTGGTACCAAAAAAAAAAAAAAAAAAAAAAAAAAAAAAAAAAAAAAAAAAAAAAAAAGTGTATGTGTGTGTGTGTGTATATGATGGAGTACTATTCAGTAACAAAAAGAATGAACTCATGCATTTGTGAGAAGATAACTGGAAGCTGAGATGATTATATTAAGTGAAATAAATCAAACACAGAAAAACAAGTACTGTGTAATCTCACTCATATGTGGAGCCTAAAAAAGCTGGTCCCATGGTGGTTACCGACTGATCAAGAACAGAGCAAGTGGGGCATGGTGAGGATGGGGAAGTTGGATCAGGGTGTTCTAAGTTACAGCTACGCAACAGCAAGCTCTGTGGTACTACTACAGAGTACGGTGACCAGAGATAACAATTATGTACCGTGTATTTCAAAAACTAGAGAAAAGAATTCTGAAAGTTTTCACACAAAGAATTAATAAATATTTCAGACTATACATGTTTAACCTGGTTTAAAAATTAGTGAATATATGTATCAAATGATACATGGTAGCTCATTGATACTTACAGATTTTGTTTTTATGGATTAGTTAAAAATAAAAATGTTTTAAAGTGAGACATACTGTCAATATCAACTGCACAAAAGGCTGCAAAAACTTTGTATACAAAGAATGTGAAACTATAATTATTAATTGAATGTTTAAATACCGTTCAGGTTTATTACCTTAGAGAGACATATTATTGAAATTAATCTCACCTGTTTCTTTCTACCTTTCAAAATCTAGCTACTAGAATACTCAAAATAGTCACTGCCATCCTGGGTTTCTGTGTTCCCTTAGACCTTAGCATGCTTCTTCACTTAGACTCTAAACAACATTAGAAATAAGACCATAATCTGGCAGATGGAGGAAGATGAAGTAATGAACTGGGTGGAGAAAGAAACAGAATTTATTACTGACTCAGATTGCACCATCTTAACCACTCAGATATAGATAGGCAACTTTCTTTGGAATAAGCCTTTTCTACTCGCTGCTCCAGAATTGCAGGAGATGAATAAACATTAATGAAAGGACAGTCCAACTTTATTTTTCCAGTGTACACCACAGATAAGACACAGATAAATTCCTCTCACCTAAAACAGAATGAGTACAAAAGAAGAGAAATGCTAGGAAAAGTGAATAAGACTCCACTTCCCATGGTCAGAAACATCAAGAACCAAAGAAAGTACAATAAAATTTTTATAAAAATTTAAATCTAATGAGAATAAAAATATTCCTCATCAAACATTAAGTTACTGCTGAAGTGTTAATGAGAAATTTATAACATAACTGTAAAAATAAAATAGAAAAAGTTAATAAAGATTCAGTCTCAGACTAGAAAAAGAAAAAACAATGTAACTATTCTAAAAGTAGAATAAAGAAAATACTAATGGGAAGAAATTCATGACAAAAGTAAGAAATTATTTATTAGAAAAAATTAATATTAAAATTATGGTCCTCTAAGATGGCATTGACATTAGGAATTTTTTTGTACTTCATTCAGTGATAAATCTGCACATCCTAGAGCAGTGCCCAATAGTTTACCACAGATATTAAATAAATATTGAATGAATGATTACTTCTTTAAAAAACTGATAAAACAGATAAACTGATAACACTATGCAAGGCACAGATGGCCATAGAGAGCTCATTCCACATACAGTAGAAATTCTCTTAAAAGTGTTATATGAATATGAATTACTTGACCCCACTATATTTGAAAATGTCATGGAAACATAATTTAGTAACAGTTGGCAAACCATATGAATATCTACATAACTATGAAAAAAAGCCACTAGACCTCAATGACTGTAGTCTCTCCAAAAAAGCCAAGCAGTAACTTCAATTTTATTTTTTAAAGCTACTTTATAAAACAGAAATTAAGGGATAGCTTTAGTTTTATGACACTAGAATGATTGTGTCCAGTTACCTCTGTGTTTTTTTTAACTATGGTAAAATACATACAACATATACTTTACTATCTCAACCATTTTTAAGCATTCCATTCTTTGGAAAAATACATTCACATTGTTGACCACTATCGGTCAACTAAATTCTTCATCTTATGAAACTGAAAAGCAAATCTCCTTATTTTTCTTCATACTAGCTCCTGGAAACCATCTTCTACTTTCTGCTCCTATAATATGAATTTGACCACTCTGGGTACCCCACACAAGAGAAATCACATACACCTTCAAATTTCACCCATGTTGAAACACTGTTAAAATTTCCTTCCTTACGATGCTAATAGTCTTCAGTATCTATATACTACATTTTGTTAATTTTTCCATTGTCTTAGTTCCTTTTCACTCGTCGCTGAGACAAAATACCTGAAGCCCAAGTTGGGAAAGGAAAGGTTTATTTCTTAAGGTTTTTGGAGGTTTCAGTCCACATTCAGTTGGCTCCAAGACAGGTGGGCATGACTGGGTCGCAGTTCATGGTGGCTGCAAACAGCAAGCAGGAACCGGCAAAGAGCAAGACACACCTTCTTCCTGCCATTACATCACAACCTGGCTCCAGCCCTATGTGGGTGGAGCACTGACACCATCAATCCAAGCACTAGACAATGAACCATCACAAATGCACAATGCAAACTCATGAGGCCTGGGGGCCACAGACATAAACCATGACATCCATTAATTGGATACTTAGGTTGCTTCCACCCTGACTACTATAAATGATGCAGTGAACATGGGTGTACAAATGAATGTCGAAGTCTTTGCTTTAGATTTTTTTTGGTAGTAATTTTACTTTTCTCATTGCTGAGACAAAATATCTGACACCCAAAGTTGAAGGAGAAAAGAGGTTTAGCTCACGTCTAGTCTTCAGTATATAATCAGCTGGCTCCCGGCCAGGTGGCGCACAGAGGAGAGCAGCAGTTCATAGCATTGGAAGGCAGCAAAGGCAACAAGAGGTGGGGAAGACAAGACCCTCGGTGTCCTTTATATTGTAGCCAGTCTACCAGGATTAGGGCAGTAGCAATAGAATCAGTGGACTAATCCAGCAATCACCCACCTTTAATCCCAGCACCCTTAATCCAGCATTGCACCAATCAATTACACACTGTAGATTCAGCCACCCCCAAAAATCCCCACGACCATATGAAACTTTAAGGGGACATTTAGACACAAGCCATGACAACAGTAAACGCAGAAGTGGAATCCCAGATCTCAGATGGTAATTCTGTTTCACTGCCATATAATTTTCTCTAAATAGCAATTTAATCTTATATTCTACCAACAGCGCACACAGGATTGTGTAGTTTTGATAACAAGATTATTCCAGCCCCATAAAACTAAAGATTTTGGTTACCTGGTATTCTCATTACTGATATTTAAAAATTTTTGCACCTGTGTCCAAATACAAGATAGATCTGTATCAGAAATCTGAATGATCCAAAAAACATAAAGATAAAATTTAGACAACACAACCAAACAAGATTTGCTACCTGAACAAAGGATTTTTTAATTTTAAAAAACAAAGTCATTGTACACATTTAAAAAGTTGAAGAGAAACCCTGAAGATCTTACAACAAATGGAAGATACATAGTTCAGTACCTATTTAAAGAAAATGAACAAATAAAAATCTGAAAATTCTAAAAATTTTTCATCTTCAACACATAACACTGTTTTTTCTTCATTTTACCAGACAATACAGTTTAATATTAAGTAGGAGGTACAAGAAGAAGCATCCGTTTCTTATTCCTGACTTTTCAAAGATGGCTTCTAATATGTTACTATGTAATGATGCTTATTTGATATTTTTTCTCTACAATTTTTATCAGGTTAAATATATTTATTTATACACTAATTTTCCAAGAGTATTTTTGTCTCTTTGTTGCTTGATTTTCTAAGTTTCAGTACTTCCTTGTCTCTACACTGAAAGACCAACAGAATGGACCAATAAATTACCAGAATAAAAGTAAGTTTGTAGATGTAGTGGTGATGGTAACCATCAATAAAACAGATAATAATACATCTTGGCAAAGCTGTGGGGAAAAAGGTACCCTTTTACATTGTTAGTTGTAATATAAACTACTACAACCATTATAGAAAGCAGTTGAAGACTCCTCAAGAAACTAAGAATAGAAATTTCATTGGACCTAGCTACACCTCTTGTTCTCAAAAGAGTTAAAGATATCATACAATAGTAATATACACATTACCCGTGTTTATAGCAGCAGAATTCATAACAGTTAAATATTGGAAATGACCTATATGCCCATCGAAAGATGAATGAAGAAAATATGGTAGTACTATTCATTCATACAGAAAGATAAACTCAAATCATTTGTAGAAAAATGGATAAACCTTGAGACCATAATGACAAGTGAAAAAAATCAAATACACATTGCATTGCTTCTCTTAAGAAACTCAATATATAAACAGTGTAAAGCCTAAAATCAAACATAGTAGGAAGTGGTATTAGAGGGGAAAAAGATCTAGAGATGGAAGGAGGAGAGAATAGGTAAGTAAAATGAATATGCCATATATACATGTACCAGTTCCCTATAGTGAATGTACTCAATACATATGGCAAACAGGTATTAATAAAAAATAAACGTTAAATGAAACAACTTAAAAGTAACATTACTTTAAAAAATTCGAGTTATGACAGAATTTTAAGCTCTTCATTTTTAATTGAAAAGTGCTGTTTTGATTCAACAAATGCAGGGCTGGGGATATAGCTCTGAGGCACAGCGCTTGCCTGGCAAGCGCAAATCCTGAGTTCGATGCCCGATCCCCTCTACCACACACACACAAAAGTGAATTCAGACATCACCTTGAACATTATTTTAATTCCTTAGAATTAAATTTTTAAGTGCAACAAATAGATAAAAACACAAAAGTTGCAGATAATAGTATACCTCCTCAAAACACTACTACTTGCATATCATTAATTAAGAGATTAGGCTTTTTTAACATAGTTCTTTAGTTTTCTTTTGAGGTAGAATTTATATACAATAAAATATACAAAAATGAAGCCTACAGTTTGATGGATTCAGATAAATGCAATACATTTAAACAATCTAAACCTCTACTATGATATAGAACACGAATATCACTCCCAAAAGTTCCCTCATCTCTTTCCAGAAAAGCCCTCAGCTCTTCCTAGTCCCTCAAAGGAAATCTTTGTTCTAATTTATTTTCTACTCTATCATTTTTGCTTTTTTCAGAATTTATATATAAATGGAAAATATGTACTCTTGCCTATAAGGCTTCTGTTATGCAATACATTGTTTGTTTTTTTCAGACTGATCCATCCATACTTTTTTCATACAAAGATAAAATTTAAATTTACTTACCATAAAAATGACTATTAGGATGAGACAGATGCCCACTATAATGAGGAAGGGGATTAGATAGTATTCTAGAGGAAGACTAAATTCTGGAACTAAGATAATGTGGCCCCTAGAAGAGAACAAAAATTAATAATTGAGAACCAGTAAAAATTGTCAAATTATGATAGTGATTAAAAACAAAAACAACTTTAAAGATATGCAAACATTAGGATGCAATTCACTATACACATCTTAGTTTCTGATATGTGCCTTCTAATAATTTAAGGAATGTTCTTTATATCAAGTCTACTTATTTCAAACTAACTTGCCCAAATAATTAAAAGACATTTTTCAGCTTTGTACAGAAAACCAAGTATTACTTTGTCTGTCTTAGAGAGAGGTTATTTACTGTATCACGTAACTAGAAAAATTTAGATTGTGTATATAACAGCGTAAAAAATGATAGTAGTGCCTTGGTAGCACATCATCAATCAAATTACTGTTTATCTTTTCCTTTTAAACTTTTTTTTAAAAAAGTTTTAAAAAGTTTTAAAACTTTTTTAAATTTAGTAATGACTTCTAGACTCTAGAAGTCATTACTAAATTAAAAAAAAAAAAAAAAGTAGAGTCAGATGCCAGCCTTTTGCCATGGGTCAGTGCCATTCATGGACTGCGGGGGAAGAGAACAATAAGTCACCAAGAAGCAAGTCCTCCCTGTGAATGGGCACCGTGTGTGGGTCACTGGCGGGAGAACCAGATGCCAGCCCCTTCTGGCATGTGGGCTGGGAAACAAGAAGAGTACCTTACCCCACCACCCTAAGTAACTGGCTGACCCAGAAAAACACATGCTATGATGCTGGCAATTGAGGTGGAATACAATTTAATGCTTGTAACGTTCAGTGTTTCACTGATTTTGCATGTGGAAAGCCAGGGTCTGATCATCTATTCAGAGGATGGCAATACGCAGTGTAGCTTCTATGGGGGATCTCCTTCTGAAGGTGGTGGCCATTGTTGATTCCATATTGTATTGTTTTGAAGTCCTGTATCATTTTCATTGTTTTGTTTGACTGGGTTTTGTTTTGATTTTATTGTATGTGATGGTGTGGGCAGCTATTTCAAGAAACCAAGATATATTATGGTAGCCATTTTGGATTTACTATTACCTTTTTTTGAAATCCTTTATTACATTCATTCCTTTGTTTTTATTATTTCTGTTCTGTTCTGTTTGATTCTTACTATGTATGAAGGTATCTGCAGCTATTTTGAAGACAGCAGGAGGTGTTATGGTAAACATTGTTGATTTCTTATTGTTTTGAAGTCCTGTGTCATCTATACTGGTTTGTTTTGATTGGCTTTGCTGTTTTGTTTTACTTGGTTTTATTCTCTTTAAAAAAAATTAAAAAAAATTTAAAGCCTCCCTTTTTCCTATGTTTTACATGTACCTGATGAACCAATAAACATGGAATTAAAAACTGGTCAAAGAATTTGCTAAGAGTTGTTTCTTCACTATTTTCCACTGCTTCCCTGAAACAAAATACAGAAATGTGTAGGTGAAAAGAATGTTTTATTTCCACTTGTTACTGATCACTGATTAGTAATTATGACATCACCACTACAAAATGGGGACCTATAAAATAAAAAGTGCTATCAGAGTAAGTAAACTACCTGTGCTACAGGGACAAATTTTATATGCCATCAAATTTTACTTCCAAAATCTCTTCAGTCTAGAGGAGGGTCTGTAAAATCTTCAGTAAAATGACAAATCTTTCTATTATGTCTACTGTTCTACAAGACTAGTAAGAGGCCAGCAATGCTATTCTGATTTCCACTGGTGGTAATTTTTTTTAAGGTAGAAAAGCCAGATATTTCATAATACAAAGGTTCAAAGTAAAATAATAACTTTGAGGGTAATGAAAAATAGAAAGAGGTTGACTCCTCCCTTAATAGAAACAAGTTGCCTTCTCCCTTAAAAAAGGTGATAATGATTCTATGGTACTTAAGGAAAATGACATAAAAGCAAATTACTTCTATTCCCAAGCTGATTTTAAATGTTCATGCTATTATTTACTAATCTTACATCCAGGAGCTACCAATCTTCATAAAAAAACACAATTATCAGCAAATTCTTTCCAATAATTTAAATACCTTACCCACACTGATATGACTGCATGAATACAAGTGGTTCTTTTACATCAGTGGTTTTCTAGCAGAATGCTGGATAGAGAATTACAGAAAAATATCAGTCCTTTGACTTCACCCCTATTTCCTCTGTCTAGCCAGGTCCCCTGCAGCTGACCATGCAGATTAACCCTTGTCTAGTGCCAGATTAATCTATATTTAAAACACAGGTACTTAAACAACTTTAGTATCTTGACACTCTGCCTCCATTTCCACCTCTAAATACTCCATGAGTTCTGCAGTTAAGATTTGATCACTGAAGTAGTCTTAAGTAACTAGGAAATAACGTCTTAAGTCTTCGGTGCATGAGTTCTCATGCTAAGTTCAAACCAAGTATCTAGGCCTAAGCTTTATGACAACAGCTCATCTAATTTCTCAATTCATCTGTGCATACATAAAGTTTGGTCTTGTTTGTTCTGACAACCAAGCCCTGCCAATCAAACTGCTGCACTTCAGAAGAGTTACAGCTACACACCAGAGCCCTGTGTCCTTGTCTTGGTCACTTTCTGGTCAGTGAGACACATCACCTGACATCTGCAACTTTGAGGAGGATAGGCTTATTTTGGCTTATAAATTTAGCTCATAGTTGGCTGCTTCCAAGACAGAAACCACAGTCGAGGAGCATGGTAGAAGACAGCTGAGTTGCTCAAGGGCAAGCAGACAGGAAACAGAAAGTAAAGACAGGAGTTGTGGAAAGAGCTACTGTATACCCTTCCAGGCCATACCCATGGTGACCCACAGTGACCCATATCTTGCAACCAGGTCCCACTTCCTAACAGTACATCATTAGGGGGCTAAACTATCCATGACTATACTGTCTCCATGCAGCCACCACCCAACACATGAGGTTTCTAGGGCCACTGTAGATCTACACCGTAACTGTCCTACAGAATAACTTTTGAAGGACAAACTGTGATCAGTCCAACTGTTAGTGATACCAGCACTGTCTCAGCTGACTACTTTCTTCAACTTGCCCCTCTCAGACAAAGCTCACAGCTTCACCCAAACATCCTACACTTCCCACTAGACAGAAACAGAGCCCATTTGTGGGACACCCTGTTTTCCTGCCAGTATACTGTTAGGTCTTGTTGAGGAGTTCCAAGGTAACGCAAAAGTAGTTTATTTTCACCACCATTTCCTGAGTATCTATTATGATAAACTACTGTGCCCTATATTAGGGATGGAATATGAAAAAATAAGAATCCCTCTCCAGGAGAAAGAACATAAAGAATTGCAGGAAATCTCAAGGTTCTTTGCTCTATCCCCTCATTTTCTTTTTTTCTTAGTATATATTTGCAATATGTGATAATTCATCTTGGAGAATTGGTACATATAGATAGCTCATCTGAATAACTTTTACTTTCCCTTCCTAAACCTGCTATTTCTGTCATCTCAGTATTTTTTCGCATATTTGATTAGACAAAAATCTCCAAACCAGACAACATATTTTGTTCATGGGGCAGTGAGAAAACAAGCATGCTCATACATTAAGACATAACCCTTACGAATGGAAATTTGACAGTATCCAGCAATGATGGATATACATCTAACCTTAAAACCAGGAACACCACTTCTACAAATCTATTCCAAAAGTATACTGGCCAAACATGAGCAGATTCATCTGTAAGGTTATTCATTATCACACTTCTTAAAATAGAAAAAGAAATGTAAACAACTCAAAAATATCCATTCATAGGGCACTGTCTGATTAATATGCATATCCACAAAATGGAGTTCTACCCAGGTATAAAAAGAATGAAGAATATCTGTCAATTCATGTGATGGGACCTGCTGGATACACTGTTAAGTCAAAGAAGGGCCAGGAACAGTATTTAGACATATGGGCAGAAAATGAGAGAAAAGAGGTAACACATTTGCCAATGATTTTAATGGATTAAAGACACAGTTTTATTAGTTGTTACTTAGTTTGGGAGTTTTTCTGGGGGAAGGTGTAGCAGGAATTAAACTCAAGGTCTTACACTTGCCAGGCCTGCATTATGCCGCTGAGCTACATCACTGGCCCTTGTTACTCAGAAGGCAAGAATGAGAACAAGACAGACAAGCTAGTCGGTACTTAGAATCTTGACTTCTTTGATTATAACTTGTTTTGCTGATTTTGAATTCAGTTATCACAAGTAAGCTGGGTATAAGTAGTACACAGCTATAATCCCAGCATTCTAGAAAGCTGAGCCAAGAGAATGACAAGCTTGAGTCCTACAAGGGCAATTTAATGAGACTGGACTCGCTGGAACTTTCATTCCAACAGTTTTCTATTCCTGAAGTTTTACATATTTTACCAATATATGTGCATTACTTCCTAATGTAAAAAGGTATGATTTTATACTTAAAATAAAAAAGATTCTTTATAGGATTTTTTTCTAACAAAGGAACAATACTGAGATAAAATCAAGTATTAGTTTTTCCATCTACTAACTATGCAAACAGTAGACAAAATACCATCTTGTATAGCTGGTTTTTAATGTATTTAAAATTATGTTCCCTAACTTAATAAAGCATATAATGTGAAAAGTATTTAATACTATATGAGGAAAATGACAAAAATAAATATTTTTTCTCTATATATATTTTTAAGCTCAAATATTTATCCCCACTAAATAATTAGAATTTGACGCTAGTTTGTTCTTTCAGTATAAATAATAAATGATAATAATAACAAACATCTAGAAGTTTGTTAAGAATTAAACAGATAACAAACACAAAAGTCTTGCTCTCATAAGTGCCAGGCATTTGCTAAATGCTTAACAAATACTAGCTGCGTCTATTTTTATTATGTTATAATTCCTGTTTTGTGAATCTGCTTCAGGGAAGCTCTGAAATGTTTGCTGCATTGCTGTAGATGAGGAAGTTGTGGCTTAAGTGAATTTTAGCTTATGTTTTCTGTTTGTAATGAGATGGTGGTGGGAAGTGTCATAGAGAAGTTTTTAATACAAATAAAATTTAAAACTGATTGTTTTGGGCAATATATTAGAGATAGAACCAGGGCCTCAAAGATGCCTCCCACCAAAAACTGACATTTTATCTTTGTAAAAGTCACTTACACTGTGTTTTGGAAATTTCATTGTTTCTAAACCATAAAATGCAAAGTTTTATCTTTTTAACAACATTAATGTCAACATTAGAGACTCTCTCCAGCATGAATATATTTTAGATACTCATACACAGAAAAAAATTGTATAATATAGTATCTCAAAATTATGATTTAAAAAGAGATAATTAGCACAATAGTTCATTCTAAACATAATATTTATTACAATTAACATTACAAAATTCTACCCAAATAAAATGAATTTTAAGTTACATGAAATTTTGATATTTATTACTTACCCTTTTTCATATGTGAATTCATCTTTCAGGGAATTAGCTGATGATTCACCAATAAAGACAGATGGAATGTCAATTTTCTTTAGCACATCAACTATATAAAAGAATAATAAAATTATTTGTAAAAGCCCATTTTTAGTGTACAAAAAACTTAAATTTCTTCATAACAGCAGCAAAGGCAACTGGAAACAATTACAACTGGGACTTCATTTTCTACTAGTTTATTTTTTGGATTATAGATTTATACTAATTACCAAAATAGTTTACAAATAAAGTATTTATGATTTTTCTTTTATTATTATTTATAATTTAAAAAGCTAATATTTTACAAGTATATATTATCTCACTTAATTTCAATAGTCCTAAAAGCCTGAGACTAATTATCTTTAATGTTTCCATTTCATTTTATTCCTTGATAGATATAGCTGTTAGGAAAGGAAGATGATGAAAAAATTTTAGGTTTTCTTCCCACAACTAATTCCTAAAGATAAAAGAAAAAAAGTTTATTTTACATACCCATTTTCAGGAATATAAGACCAGTTTGTATCAGTCTAAAAAATAACACCAGTCTCCAGCTTTCCAAAGAGAAAGTCTGACAGGACTTGTTAAAAGGTACACAATAACAAAGCTGTGTAAACTTCTACTTCTCCCTAGGGGGGCAGTTCCTAGTAAATTTTTGTGTTTTGGCTGGAATTGTAAGAAATTTGACTCCTATGCTCATATTCAAAATCAAAATCAAAGGCTACAAAAAAAATTTTTGTAAAAAGTACCCATTTCTCATTACTCAGGAACAGAGTAAAACAATTCTGTTTTCTTTTCTTTCCAATGTATGACTTCATAGTACATTATGTAACCAACTGCAAGTCCACAACTACCTAATTTATTCTACATTTTTTCCCCTGATGCAAATTCTTTTTTAAAAAATTTTATTTAAAGAAAAAAAAGCAAAACAGAAAAAAGGGTGGTAATAATACAGAATTTCAAATAAAACCAAACACTAAGAAATCACATTGATAAATTACATACTGTCATCTTAGAGATAGTTGTACAAGTTACAAAATTAAAGCATAAAAGTAGACATTCGAACAGTGAGACTGCAAACAGTTCTGTTCAATGACCCAATAAAATCTTAGTAATATGGTCATCTATCTTACACACTTAAACATACATGCAGTTATATCCTTCAGAGCACTGTCTTTTCCTACAAATTCTTTTTAAGAAATTTTTATTAGACTTTTACAAACCAATGAGCTTCATTTTAGCGTATTTATACACACATGTAACATACTTTAATCATTTCCAACACTCCACCTCCCCTCGACCTGCTCTCTTTCCTCTTCCTTGTTCCCTTTCTCTTAATAGTCTCCTTTCTACTTTCATCTCTCCGTGGGACTTTTTAAAATTCAGCATAAGAGAATAAATACATTAAAAGGCTTCTGCTTTCTAAGAAACAGACTACAAAATGGGATAGAATCCCTGCCAGATTTTCTTTTGACAGAGGGTTTTTTCTGACAGAAGAACTCAAAACAAAGCAAAAAATACCCTATCGTATAATCCTATTAATACATGGGCAAATGGACTCAACAGATACTTCTTAAAAGAAGTATAAGTAAGCAATAAGTACATGAAAATATTCAACTTCTTTAGCCACCAAAAAAATGGAAAGCAAAACTGCATCAAAATTCCGCCTCACACCATGAGAATGTCCATTACCAAAAATACAAACAATAATTGCTAGTAAGGATTTGGGGGAAAATGAACACTTCATACACTGTTGGTGGGAATGCAGATTAGCACAACAACTATGTAAATCAAAGTTGAGGTCCCTCAAATAACTAAAAATAGATCATTTGATCCAGTTATATATTCCTCAGCATATCCGTGAAACAATTAAAGCTGGCACACTATAGAGATATCCACATATCCTTGCCTATACAGTGCAGTTCACAATAGCAGGCCACAGGATCAGCCTAGGTGCCTATCAAGATTACTGGATTAAAAATGTGGTATAAATATGGAAAGAAGAATAGAATCATACCATGTGTCAGAAAACGAAAGAACTAGAGATCGTTGTGTTAAACAAAGTAAGTCACACTCAGAAGTATAAGCTTCTTAATGTTATCAATAGAAAAACAGCCTCCTCATTAGCTGCGAGTTAATTGTGAGATTTGGCTTTAGAGAAAATCCAGTTTCTTTTTTGTTACAGTTTTCAAAATGACTTTGTTTTTCACTTTTTACAAATGCATACTTGTTATGCATTTTAGAAGTAAGGATGGTACAAGAGAAGAAAAATAAAGCTATAGTACTTCCGACCTGAAGACCACTTATCTAATAGGAAGTAACCAACAGTTCTGTAAGTTTTGACAAATACCATACACCACATAAATACAACTAAGAAACAGAATATTACATAATTCCGCATAACCTCATTTCCACTATAGTCAATTCCTCCTCTTCCTAACCTCTTCAACCACTGATCTTTTTCCCTAAACCATGGAACTATTTTGTTTTGTTTATTCCTAAAAAACTAAGGTTTAAATCCTAGTTTCCTTGGTATAGTACAGTAAGGTTTTCTTTTTAACTTCCACATTTTCCACACAACTATAGATATTCTCACAAATGTAAGCCCCACCCTACACACATGCACAAATACATACACACACAAGCTCCAGGAAGACGAAAACAAACACAGCTAGTGAAAAGTATTTAATCAGTTTTTATCAATGAGATCAGTAGACACTTCATTTTTATATCAATGATATAATAGAAAAACAAAAACAAAATTGCACTCAAGGATACACAGCAGATATTCTGTCATGTCATTCTGTCATGTCGTATCATCTACAGTAGCAACAGAGGCATTGTTATAGGACTGTCTATATTGTAGGGAGATATTTTTTACTGTGTTGAAAAGTTTTCTTTGTAACGTATCAGTTTTACTTTGATAATAAAAACTTGAAATTACATATCCTTTGTAAGATGTTTCACTCTTTCATGAAGATACTCTGATAAACTCAAGGATAAACTATTGGTTTCTAACTACTGGTCTTTAAGTTTTGGAAACAACATAACCTCTTGCCAATTACGGCATCTAAAGAGATACAGAAAACTTCTCATGTTAGTAAAAAGATTAAAAGGAGGAAAACACTATATGCAAATATGAACAGCCACCTTGGAAATGCAACATTATCTACTAAAAAACAAAAGATATTCTTTGTGCATTCATCTATTGATGGACATATAGTATAGCTCCAAGGTTTAGCTATTATAAATTATGGTGCTATAGACATAGGTACCTATGTATCTGCATACTATGAAGTCTTTAACTCCACACAATGGAGTACTACTCTGCATAAAGAAAGACAAACTTAAGTCATTAGTAGAAAAATGGATGCACTTTGCAACGATAAAGTTAGGTGAGGTAAATCAGACACAAAAGCTTAAATGTTACATAATTTCTCTTAAATAAGAAGTCCAACATATAAATAAAAAGCAAAATAAAAGACAGATAACAGGAAGAATGGAGGCAGATTTTTCTCAAAGGTGGAGGGCATCAATAGATGGAGGGAAGGAAAGCAGAAATAAAGGGGCTGAAAAAAGGAATGCATATGCGTTATGCACATGTAACAACTCCACACAAGAAATGCAGACATCATGTATTGTAAACATGTTTTTTAAAAAAGGGAGGGGATCAACAGATGAAGACAGGGAGGTGGAAGAGGCAGGAAATGAAGTGAAAAAGGAATTAAGATATACATGTACCAATTTCCCACAAAGATTATAAACAGTATGTATTATAAACATGTTCCAATTAAAGTAAAACAGATGGTCTAATTTACAAAAAACTTTAAAAAACACTAAATTTAATTCTGATAAAACAACTGTGTAAACTATATCCTACCAAACAGTATTACCATATCACAGATTAATGATAATTTAACAACCAACTCAAATCTCTCCAGATTTGAATGTCAAGATGCCTATTCAATACCACCATTTGATTAACAGGTGCTTTCAAATGTACTGTTGCTCAAACAAAACTCTAGATGTTTCTTCCCCTAAACCAACTCTATTGTTTCTCATCTCTGTAAACGGTTTCTCACGATGAGCAACCTGGAATCATTCTTGACCTCTCCCCTTTCTGACAGTACTTCTTGGGGGCTGGGGATTTAGCTCAGCGGCATAAGTACCTGCCTTGCAAGCAGGCGGTCGTGAGTTCGATCCCTGGTACCGATAAAAAGGAAAAAGACAAAAAAAAAAAAAAAAAAAAAAAAGACAGTACTTCTTATATCAAATTCCATCTACTACAAAATATCCAGAATCCTACTATTTATCATTTTTCCTCCTGCGACTCTAAGCCGTCAACCACTCTGGCTGGGCTACTGCAGCCACCTTCTTAACGGTCTGTTGTTCGTGCTCTTGCCCATGTTTCACCTTTAATCCACTCTAAAAGAACTGTCAAAGTGATCCCTTACATCACTGTTTAAACACGCTTAGAGTTAATTCCAAAGCCCTTATCATGACCTATGAGGCACAACATGGTTTGGCCCCAGGTCCTTCTCCAGGGTCATCCATGGCCACCTGCTCTCTCCCTTGCTCGTTCTACTCCATGTACTGGCTTTCTGCCACAGCTGGGTAACACCAAGTTTGCTTTATCTTAAAGCCTCTGGATATACTGCTGCCGCTTCTTGAAAATTCCAGAAATCTTCATGACATAGTCTCTCACTTTGAACCTATGTCAAATCTCAGTGCCTTTCAGAAGCCTTTTCTGACTACCCTGCCTAAAACAGTCACCTTCCTCTCATCTCTGTCACATTATATATAGTCCCTTAGCCTGAACTATTTTTCTTCATAGCATTTATTACTACTTTACCTAATAGCACAATTATTTGAGTTTGTGTTTATTTCTTCGCTCCCATCCTAGAATGCAACAATAACAATACTGATAGCAATACAGCTGAACCACTTTTGTTGTTGTTGTTTTGAGACAAGGTCTCACTGTAGGTTGGCCTTGAATTCACTGTGTAGCCCAAGCTGGCCTCAAACTGACAGGGATCCTCCTTGTCTCAGTGATCCTCCTGCCTCAACTTCCCA